ACAATTTTAAACATCTTTAACCAAACTCTGTGAGTGTGATTAACTAAAGGTTTTATTTTTTATTTTTTTTTTTAGATTTTATTTATTTAGAGGGAACATAAGCAGGGGGAGTGGGAGAGGGAGAAGCAGGCTTCCCGCTGAGCAGGGAGCCCGATGAGGGGCACGATCCCAGGACCCCGGGATCATGACCTGAGCCAAAGGCAGACGCTTAAGACTGAGCCACCCAGGCGCCCCAAACTAAAGGTTTTAAACAAACGTACGAAGTGGATTCAACTTGGTGCACTTTAAAGATGATGTTTTTGGGGGCAGCAGAATGAATATGTTTTGCAGTATCTTTTTCTCAGCAGAGACGTGACAAGTGCTTGAACAAGACCTATGTCTGCTGCCAAAGAGAAAAGTTGCTCCTGCCACGTGGTATCCTAGCGGTACCAGCAGGTTCTTCACACCCAGACCACTTGTCCTCTGTCATTCTAGCCTCTTACTTCAAGAGAGCTTTGCTAACACACCTGCTTCATTGGCGTAACCATCGATATGCTTTTGTCTGTGGGCTCGCTAGCGGCAGAAAAAAATCTTAATTCCACTGTATGCTGCAATGACAGTTTTTTCCTGAATACATATCATATCCTTTTGAGTCACACAAGAACTAAGATGGTACCTTGATGAGTCATGGACATTTTAAATAGCAGCTAACACTTACGTAACATTTTTATTCCACACAAAACACTTTCATAGGCATCCTTCATTTGAGAACATAGAAAGGCGAAGGAGTATAATAGAAAAACAGCTAAATTTGGAGTCAGAAGTCTGGATTTTAGAAGTCTAGAGCTAGATCTTTTTACTATTTCCTGACTGGGTGGTGGTGGGGCGGAGGTATCAACCAGGACGAGGGCTTGAACTAGCCTTGTGTGATCTGGAAGACGGGGCAGACACCACCCTGCGGGTCAGTGACCTGGGAACAGTAGGTAAGGGCTCAGCCCCTTTGTCCTGCAGCCAATGTCAGAACAGATGGTTTGGCAAGTGGAAGAGTCAAGATTTTAGCCCTGACCTGCTCTCCTGAACAACTGTACATGGCAGCAGTGATGAATCCTAACATTGATTGAGTGGTTCTCATGTACTGGACCTTGGGTGAAGAACTTCACATTTTTAGCTTGTCAGTTCCCCCTTAGTTCTCTGTGAGGTATCCTCACTTTACAGACTGAAACTAAAGCTTGGTTGGGATTGCACAGCTAGTAAGTGATGGGTCAGGATGGGAATTCCAGTCTATGTGATGTCCACAGATCTGACCCTAACCATCAATTACACTGGGAAAATTTTCCTCCTCCTTGAACCTGTCTTTCCCTGAAGTTATTCTGACTACTGAATTATTCTAACTCCTAAATTCTAACTACTAAATTGTGCATTTGGAAAGGCTTTGCAAGTTCTGAAATACTACAGAACCATAATCTAATCTTTATGATTGTGTTGTTTAGTCAAAATCAGTTATCAAAATATTGGCTAACATGATTTTTAAATATTTGGGTTTTAAGATTTTCAGGGAATAAGGTACAATAGGACTGGTATAAAAGTAGCATATGGAAGAGAGTTAAAAAGGAGACATTTATGGGGCACCTGGGTGGTTCAGTTGGTTAAGCGTCTGCCTTTGGCTCAGGTCATGATCCTGGGGTCCTGGGATTGAGTCTCGTGTCAGGCTCCCTGTTTGGTGGGGCATCTGCTTCTCCTTCTCTGCCCCTCCCCACCGCTTGTGCTCTCTCTCTCTCAAATAAATAAATAAAATCTTTAAAAAAATAAAAAAGAATGTGGCAAAGAAACTCTTTCTACTATTTCCAAGATAACACAGAGGGCTATGTCATCATTTCTTTAAAACATGTGACAGATGGCCTGAGTATAGCAGCACTGGGGGCATCATTTGTCTAAGCAAAAATAGGACTAATTCCTATATGAAAATTGGTTTATTAAAAACAAAATGAATGCAAATCAGCATGAAATCATGGAAGTCCATTCCATAAATAAACCTTAAGAAATAAAAAAAATTCTACTTGCGATTGTTAGGACATACTATAACCTATACTCAAAAACGAAGGAGAACATATCAGAATACTCAGTGTTTTTGCTAGAATTACAGTGTCCAACAAGGTAGCGAGTGGCCATGTGTGGCTATCTGAAATTACCGAAACAAAATTAAAAATTACCTTCCTCAGCTGCACTAGTCACATTTCAAGTACTCCAAAATCACATGTGACTAGTGATTACTGTTGGACAGCATGCATAGTGAGCATTTCCATCATCATATAAAGTTCTACTGGACAGCACTGTTTTAGAATGTTCAGTATTCTTCCTAGAATATTGTTCCTTTCTCAGAACTTTCCTCAAAGTAAATGCTCCTCGTTAATTTTTTCCTCCCGGAGATTAACATTAATGACATTTGGAGTAGAGGAAATAGACGAATGAGAACTTTTCCTCCAGAGAGCTACATAATTTTAAGGAGGTTCCTCTTCCTGCCCCTCACCAGCAGTAGGGGGAAACCTAAATCAGTGCTGCGCCTGACACGTTCAAAGGTGATTAAGACACGTACCCTGCCCTCAGGAAGTACAGTATTAAGGTAGCTATCCATTAAAAAGAAAAAAAAGAAAATCATTCTGTAGTAGAGGCTACATTTCAATAACTAGTAACCTACTACGTTGGCATTTAAGAAACACTAGAAACATGGGGGGCACATGGGTGGTTCAGTCTGTTGAGCAACCAACTCTTGATTTCAGCCCAGGTCATGGTCTCAGGGTCATGGGATTGAGGCCCGCATCAGGCTCCACACTCAGGAGGGAGTCTGCTTGAGAGTCTCTCTATCCCTCTCCTTCTGCCCTCCCCCTGCTCATGTTCTCTCTCTCCCCCTCTCTCTATAAATAAATAAAGTAAAATCTTAAAAAAAACAACACTAGAAACATGAAAATATTTATATACTCTATTGTCCTTAATCAAAATAACTATCCTCTCTGGAAAACCCACTTCTCTTCTTCTCCCCATTTTTAAATCCTGCATCATCTATATTCTTTTACTATTTTCAAAATGCTAATTTAAGGGGCGCCTGGGTGGCTCAGTTGGTTAAGCAACTGCCTTCAGCTCAGGTCATGATCCTGGAGTCCCAGGATCGAGTCCCGCATCGGACTCCCTGCTCAGCGGGGAGTCTGCTTCTCCCTCTGATCCTCCCCCTCTCATGCTCTCTGTCTCCCATTCTCTCTCTCAGATAAATAAATAAAAAAAAAAATCTTTAAAAAAAAAATGCTAACTCAATTCATTCTCTTAGGATGTATTCTTTTTAAAACTTTTAATTATGTTTTCTTATCAATTTCCTTATAAGAGAATGACTACATTTCATGCTTTAAAATAAGGTAATAAAAATTAGAACTCTTAATTACCACTGCATGTCTATTAGAAATCATCTGAAGTTATAGATGGCATATGGTATAAATATCAGTATCATATATAAACATTTAATGATACCCATTTAAGATGACTATTCTTCTAGACCTTAAATCTAGGGGTTTGTAGGAATTTTCCTCTTTAAGTTTATTTTCTTCTCCACGGGGCACACATTTCTAAAATCAGTGGGATACGGTTAAGTCTTTGAAAACAAGATAGAACAAGATTTCAACATCAGCGCTGCTTCTTAGTTTGGGTAACCTTAGTAAGCGACTTGACTGGTCTGAACTTCAGTTCCCTCATCTATAAAGTATGATTAAAATTACCTACTTTACAGTACTATACTTTTGTTTTAAATTTTCATATAGAAAGGAATTTATCACTGCCTCATGAATGGTAGAAACTCAACAATTATTAGTTTCCTTCTACCCTGCTGTAAAAACATCTTTAAATTCTTGGTTGGCTGTGATTAACTGTGTCTTATACACAACCTTCCGCAGGACATTATTTTCTCTAGAGTGAATAATGACAACAGCTGATATTTATTGAGGGCTTACTGTGTGTCAAAGGCTGTATTTCACAAGTGCTTCACAGAATTATTTTTTCCCAGTCACAACCCTATGAAGGAAGGAAGGTGATCTCTGTTTTACAGAAATAAAAGAGGCTCACAGGGACCAAAGAATTCACCCACGGTCATCCCTCAAACACCCGAGTTGGTCTAGCTCCTTTGTCTTCCCTTTGAAACCAGAAGACTATGCTGGATGCATTCCAAAAGCCAGTGAATTAAATGCTAAGACAGTGAATTTTATGGTATGTGAATTATATCTCTAGTAAAACTGTTCTTTAGAACAATTGCTGAATTTGTAGTGATTAGGAAGTCAGTATAAAGATTCATTCTGTGCTGAACTTGGTCTCTGATTGTTTTTTACTTTTTAAAGGAAACCTCTGCATCCAGTACCTAGTCTCAAAACAAGTATTCCCAACGTCTAGTCAGAAAACCTCCTTGGTTCTGAGGGTCAGACGACCGAGGGAGGTGACATGCTCCGATGAGCATGACATGCTCAGCCACGTGGCCTTACTAGGTCACAGAATACGACACAGACTCCAATTACTAGGCTGCAACTTATTTTTTTCAATGGAAATTAAAAATTCACGAAGAATGTTGAAATAATTGGAGACAAAACGGAGATACAGGAAAGGATCCGGAAATAATTCCAAAAATAAAATGTGAACGTATTTCCTTAAAAATGTTCTGCATGCTTTGCATACCTTCCATTATTATTCACCCTATCTACACATCTTGCACTTAGAAGACTCTCTTGGGTTTTGGAAAGATGAATATATTTGACTAAAGGCCGAAAGAATCATCAATGTAATATTTGTACATTAATATTGTGAGAAAAAAAGTCTGTCGGATTAAAAGGACTTCCTGCCTGAGATTCAGAAAGCAGCAATAAATACCGGGGACCCGGACTCCCAGCTCAGAATACAAACGCGGGGCGTTCAAGAAGCGTGAACTTCAGTGCGGCCAGGCCTTTGATTTCGACCTGCCGACATTTCCAGAGACAAGGAGTCATCGTAATTACCTTCGTCCATGCCATTAAGCAGTTCGGTTAAATCTTCATTTTTACTGTCAAACTGATGCTCCTTCCACGTCTCACCATTTTCACTTCGAAGAACAATGAGTTCTCTCTCTTTTCCTCGCATAGACCCAAAGTGAGGGATTTCCACTATGACAGGGCTGGAAAAAAAATCCACATTATTTTGCTATCAAATGAAATATATTTCTAATATCATACTTTCAAAAACAATTTCATTAACAGTATTCATTTGAAAATCAGAGGTGCCACTAAGGTTGGGAATGACTTCAAAGCTGCAGAATCATTTGCTAATTAAATATGTCAGAAGCCTGAAAACATGCCATCATTCATTCATTCACGAACAATTCATAAGGGCCTACTGCATGTTAGGCATTTTGATTTAATAAGTGGAAAATATTCAGCACATATAAACAGGATTTTTGAATCAAGGAATTGAAAGTTATTAAAATAGACCATAAGAAAGTCGGTCCATTTTTAAAAACACGATAGCTGTATTATATTATACAAAAAAGCTAATGATTTAAAAGGACACAGTCATTTCTTTGAAAAAGAAATTCTGCAGATTTCCTACTTTGAAAGGTCACAGGTGTTTGTTCCTTAGCAAGCAAACGAGCGACATAACAATTCACTCCTTCCAACAGTGACTTTCTTTGAATTTTATGGCCTACACAGTGAAGGCAGTTTCTCTCATTTTTAATTTGTGAAATGGTAGTGGGCAACTTAACTTCCTAACTCCAGCATAACCTGCACAGGAAGATTTAAACTTCTGAAAAAGTCCTTGCTGGTTTGGAATTGTAATACAGCGATACATTAATTTTTTGACAGTGTCCTTTTGCCAAAGAATGTGAAAGGGTGGCTGCAAATTGAAGACAGCCAATCAGGCACAGGAATAATTTTGTTAACTTTTAAAATAGGGTAAATGCTAAAAAAGATGGATGGAAGTAAGCAGACCACAATCACACACAGTTTATGTAGTTGGATTGTGCAGCTTTATTTTATGACATTTAAGTAGACAGTATCATTATTCTCCTACAGAGGTTGTATGTAACCTCACCTCTTAACCTATGTGTTTATGTACATGTGATAACAGGAGACACAGGTTTAAATAGGTAAGAGCAGAAAAAGGGAGAGTCATTGTAATGACCCAATAACACAAGTACATATGAGCATCTCATTTATTACAAAAGCATTCACTTAAAAATGGGATGATAAATACAATTTTTCTTTTGGCAAAATAATTAGAATTAATTCAAATTAAGGATTTAAAATTTTTTATAGTGCCTTTATTTTTTGATAGGTAGAAACAAAATCAAGTATTCCTAAGAGTGTTAATATTTTCAAGAGTTAAGATATTTACCATAGTTTTAACCACATCTGATTTGACATTAATTTTTTTTTTTTTTTTTGAGAACTAGATACAATCTTTGCAGGTTAATGTATCAGATACTGTCTCTGTAAATATTTAAGGAATGTGGCTTTGTGTAGGACATTCAACAATACTGGAGAGAAGGTATGAACCAGGGCCTTTGACGAGGGTGAAAGCCAAGCATAACTTTTCATAACAGGTGTCTTCATGCAGACTGCCAAGGCAAATCCACCAGTCAGACAGACAAGCAAACAAACAACAAATACCAACACATTTCAGCTTAAACAAAACAAAACAAGAGGATTTAATAACGTTAGTAGAATATTCTATTTGCTGCCTAGTTGGCTTTAAGTATCTTTTATTCCCAACATTTATCAAAGTCAGTTTACTTCTTGAGGACTTTTGTTTCACAAAGCCCATAAAGATTACTTGGTATGCATAAGTACGTACTTTTAAAAAACTGTAACTCCAGACACGTACATATATATATATGCACACATATATATATTCATACACGTATATATCATTTACAGCAAATGTTGACTCAAAGCCTGCAAATACCTTCTTTTACGCTGGGTTAAAATTAGATCGTCAGTCCGTCTTAAAAACTATCGTAACCAGTTGAAACATCTCAAATTAAAGAAAGGTTTACAGAAGCACAAAGTTATGGAGCAGAAGGCTTGCAGTGAATTCCACATGCTCGGAAAGCACAAAGTAGAAGTAGCAGTGCTACGGTTAAGTCAAGCCACTATGATTTCTGTGTCTTTCAGTGACACACATCAACTGAAAGCATTAAAAACTGAAAAGATAAAAATAAAATTAAGACAAGAAGAAGACCATGGGTGTGACAGAAAAAAATTGAAAATGGAAAAAAGAATTGTAGACATTCTGTATCTTGTCTATAAAGATCCTACCCAATAAATTTTGTTCCTTGAGGCCCAAGCTGCAGGATTCGGCTAACCAAGCTCTCGCCCTCATTTACAGGGGGAGGATTGGTAGGAAGATGCAGTTTACTGAATAACATCCATGCAGCAGGAAGAGAAACGAGAAGGGGAAATCGTGAACAAACTGTCCGTCACGACAGAGCCTGCCTGATTTGCACCCAAGTGCCACCTCAGAAAATGAATTCATTTTTCCTTTTTGCAAAGTCCCATATCACCATGGATTATTTCCCTAGAAATTATCTTTAAAAAAGACATGTACCCATAGTAGCCATTTACTCAACGTGGTGAGATAGTTCCGCCATCTATATTTTTCCCTAAGAATGGTGCCTTGACTTCCACAGGGGCCGCTGGGGTTCCGTGCACTCACTGAGCAGAGAACATGCTTCTTGGTTAGTAAAAGCTTTGACCAGCAAACTGAGTTAAGGAAGTATCAGCCTACTAGCTTTTCAGAGAATTACACAGCTTTTGTGACCTTTGACACTACACGAAAAGTGTACTCGATCAAAATGGTCCAACTAAGTAGTTTTAATAGTTAACTACTTGACTTAAAAAGGGTAAAGAAAATCAAGTATATCATACAAGGGCCAAGGTAAAAATTGGCAAAACAACTTACCCTAAAAATTGTGCCCCTGCAGGACCCATTTCTACCAGCCTACTGGCTAATCCCTCTCCTTCCACCATGGGGGGTGGGTTGGCCAGTTTATGTCTCTTTACCAAGCGGCAGGTGATGCGGGTGGGGGCCGTGCACTTGCGTGGAGGGATGATGATTCTCATCCCGTGGTGACGGCTCCCTCTCATGGAGCCGCCTCTTGCATCCACCATAAAGCTAACCAGAAACCTGTAGGGAGAAGATCGGAGGCCAAATCAAGGAGAGAAACACGCCACCTTCACAGTAGGTTTTGAGATGTTAAGATTTAAAACGACAGACAATGTAGCTATCGTTTCCTCTCTTTAAAAATAAATTGGAAGTAAATACAGTGGAGTGACATCAAACATGCATTCAACTTGTGAACTGGGCAAAAAGTGGGACGAGACAACTTATTTTCGGTGGGGCACTGGCCTCCTAACAGAAGCCAACCGCTTTGTCAGATGTTCAAATTGAGGAACAGTGAATGTTTCAAAGCTGGCATAAAAACTGGCTCTTACAGGACCGTCATGCATGTAAAAACCCAAACTCAGACCGCTCTGTGTGGTCTCTGTGGATGACTTCAGCTATATTCAAGCATCATTTTAACTATAAATGGTGTTAGCCAGATGCTGACTATGGAATCTCTCTCCCTGACAAGTCAGATGAAACTCCACAGTATGTCTTAACATGTACAACTCATAAAATAAATATATACTTAATCATACAGAATACTCTAATTTTTACTACCACAAAGCAGAATATAAGAATAAAAGCAGATGACTAGTTTTGCTCAGGCAATTTTGATGGAAAGGGATTTAATCTTTTCAGTATAAATTTGGCATTAAAACCCTTTAAAATAACCTACACTTGAGTATCTGTACGGCCATATAAAACTGAACAGACTTTTAGAAAATGTCTCTAAATTATATACTATAATTCTGCCATTGGCCCTTCTATTAAAGCTAATGAAGAAAAATTATTTGTCTGCATGTAGATGTGAAAATGTAAGGATATTAATAGTATCATATCTGGGTTATAGCATATTGCAATTCCTGATTCATATCACACGCTCATGGAGCGTCCTCCTCGAATCTTTGGTATTAAAAAGCACTCTGGTGAACGTACACCAATGAGTCTGACCTATGGAAGAGTGCATGTCAGACAGAAGAACATACGTCCCTTTGCATTCCAATGTTCACATGTGAAATTATGCTTAGTACTGGGACAGCACCACATGTTGGTAATTAGAAAGTTATCTGAATACCTATAGTATTGGGGGGAGGGAATAATCCCATCCATCAAAATCCTCTACTATAGTTTATCTACATACAGTTCTAACATCCTGCAAACAGGTTTTAGGACTTTGCATGGAGGTCCTAGCTGGGGACCCTTTCCTTAAGATGATGCTTCTTGACCTTGGAAGAGGAACCTTTTCACAAAGCAAACTGACCTGCCATCCCCGTGGAGAAAGGCAATAGCATGGGGCTCATTTTTCAGCCAATCAGATGTTCAGAACCAACTCTGGTCATCAGTTAGGTGGAATCATCTTCACACCCTTCTGCTTATTTTGGATTTGGCCATTTTCCTCGGGATTACGTTTTTTTGGTAACATTAGACCTACTTTGAGAGCCTGGAACCAGTCTAATATTCAAAGTAAGAGGGGAAGAGACTGACCCCCTCAAAAACAAAACAAAACACAGACCTCCCACGTCAAAGACAAAGATACTTGTTCACTTGTGCAAGTGTCCACATGAATTGCCTCCAGGGCTAAATGATAACAAGGCTCCTGAAAGTGCTCTGGTGAGCCCACACTGTCTTAGATATACACATACTTAACAACTACCTTTACTCAGTAATGAAGACAATAGGGCAACTTTATAAAGAAGCCTAAGACAAAACCTGATCCTTCCCAGCACTCAGTAGTGAAAATCAACTCGTGATCAGGAACAACAGCAACAGAATGGATTAAAAATGATTCAGGATAAACTCTGGGGGCCACCTGGCTGGCTCAGTTGGTAGAGCATCTGGCTCTTGATCTCAAGGTCATGAGTTTGAGCCCCACGTAGGGTGTAGAGATCACTTAAATAAAACTTCAAAAAAATAAACTCCGGGTTTGAAAATTTGGTTGTATTAGTACAAATGGACACTGGAGTGTTTACACAGGGAGGGCAATGTTTGCGCTGGCAATAAACAGCTGATCTCAACAACATAGACGGTAATTCAGATCAGGCCTGTCTTGCTCACTGCTTGCCTTGCGCAGCTGAGCACAGTTCCCAAATACAGTAAGCACATGACAAATGTTAACTGAGTGACCAACTGAACAAAAACTCTTGTGTTAAGGGTGCTTAGGAACTGCCTAGGTCAGACGAGGTTACTGATACTAAAAATACATCTATATGAAAAAGATATATATAAAAAACACTTGTGGCTGAGCAGTCTGAAGGTCATTTAAGAAGGTTATCCATGTCAATATAAAAATACCCAAACTACAAAGAATATCAGAACTATATGGAAAAAACAAGTCTTAGAAGATTTTAACGACAAATTAGAAGCTCTTTCTTTGGGTTCCACGTAGCACCCAGTGGCTAGCTGGTAGTCATTAGCAATCATTTATTGTTCTAAGGTTTTCAACTTGATAGAGCCAGTAGACTGAGGAAAGGTGAGAATACATGTTAAGCAGGATAGGGTCCTGTTATTCAGTAACATCATGAAATACAGTGATTTGTTTTCCAAACTCACCCATTACATATTCTGTGCAAAATAAAATTTCATGCAATATAACTTATTAGAAACAAATCAAAAGGTGATGTTTAATCATATTTGCTGTATCTTATTAATATTTAAACTAAAGCAGGAATACTACAAATGATCCTAAAACTAACACATGAATGTTTCTAGTTTTAAGAATAGCGGGACGACAAATGCTGATACACTACAGACATTGACACGTCTAACTGTGGGAAAACTTCACATAAATTAAAAATACAAAAAAGGGTGGTACACATAAAGGACACAGTTATCACCTTGAATCATACTGAGGAAGTGGAGAAGAATAGCTGCAAAATAATTTAGAAAGCAAATGGGAAAAATTAATGTAAGATAATTAGAAGCAGGCAACAGAAAATGTCAATGATAAGCAAAGGAAAAATAAAAACCATCAGAAAATGAAGCCAAGGCATTTGGCATTTGCGGGACAACCTGGAAAAATATTCGCCTTAAGTGGCTACAGAAGCTATTCCACAGACGTGGCATTAGTGAATCATTTCCAAGTGTCTACCGAGTCTATATTTTCCTTTTCAAATAAGCCCACGCTAACTGCCATTACTTTTGCTCTCCAGGACATGCCTACTGCCTTCAGTAAATTCAAGAGGAAGGAGAGAGAATTTGTGTATTCAGATATTTCATTGTCTCCAGTGTATGAGAAAGTTTACTTCTGATTTTATTATTCTGGGCTCCCTCAACTTCTCATTTGAAGTTCAAACTATCATTTGAAGCAAAGCACAAGAGTTGACTAAATTAGACCCTCGTACTTTTCTTTCCCATGTAGAGAATACAAGATGCTGGTTCTAGGTCTTTGTAACATGGCAACAATTCACCAAGCTTGATACAAGGAACTCTTGAACATGCTGTTCACTGTGTCCCAAGTATTTTATATTTTCCTTCTCAACTGTTTTTTTTTTGTTTTTTGCTTTTGCAATGTTAGGCCCATAAACATCTAACATCAGTGGTGTAAATATTTTAAGCAATTAAAAATTAATTTACTATAATTAAAGATTGTTCTGATTGAGTTAAAGAAATGCAATGTTAATGAGTCAAAGGCCACCATGTAATTTATAGTTTATAAAGCCCTGTCATGTCAATTATTTCCATTTGAATGATAATTGCAGCTCTTCGTGCTACAAGCCAATTCTGTAAGAATACTTTAAATAACCTGCAGCATTACTCTGAGTCTGACTTTTTGTCTACAAAATGGGGATAATGAGTAAAACCTATCTCACAGTGTCATTTCAAGGTTCAAATAAAAATTAAGTAAGATAATACATGTAAAACATTTAACACAATGCCAGGCACATACAAAAGTAAACATTAGCTATTAAACTTTATTTTAATTAAAAGCAGCAGAAAATACTTCATGTAATACATACAGCATTTCAGAAATGTTAATTATTGTTCATTTATTTAATTGTAAACTAATCCACCCTTGTCCTGGATCACAACTAATTTATGGCCTAAATGTTGGTTTCAGAGGTGAAAACACCTGGATGTTTTCATCAGCTCAATTATTTCCATTCCATTTGTGTGGATTCAATTAGCCCATGTTTTAATTACCTACAGGTGAAGAATCCCACATCTAAATATACGCTGATTATCAATTCCGCAGATGGAGCAGGTCACCTCCTACCGCCTACCCCAGATTCTGCCGACCAGTGGGACAGCAGGAAGGAGCCTGTCCCATGTGATTTTTACCACTGCACCCCTGGGGTACACACATTGGTACATTCACTCTTTAAAAGTGAATTCCTTTCTTTCCATTTTAAAATTAACTTCTCTTCTTCTAATTATAATTTAATACCTTAATCATAATTTTATTTTAGGAATGCAGAAAGTACCAAACTTGATCTGAAGATTTCAGGCTCAAAGCAAAGCACAAAAGCAGTCAGCGAGGTAAATGAACAGTTATACCTACATATTTAATTTTTCATTAGAAAGGAAAATCAGGGACTCAGAAATAAAATTTCATTTGAATAAAGTAAAATTAAGGGAAATGGCTAGATTTAATTTTTTTAATTGAAAAGAAAAATTAAAGACCTGGGAATAGTACCAGAACAGGCAAGAAATTTTTATGCACCGATGCTCCAATTCTTTTCCTTTCTAACACTGTGCTTTTTTCCAACAAAAAATAGATATACCATTTTGCTCAGGGAAAAAACTGACTAATGACTTACAAATATACATCACATATACTCACTAATGAAGTCTTCAGAAGACCAATATTTTATACATATGAAGTTTGTCGATATGAATTTATAACTCCAAATAATAAATGTAATGTTCATTTAATAGGATAAAGAAAAGTGACTTTTAGATTACTTACCCAGAATGAACAGGACTTGAGACAAGATTGACATTGTCCAAGGTATCTGCAGCCCAGCTATAATGTCTTAGAGAATCTGAGTCAAATTCTCTTGTGAATGTTAGATGCTGCAAAATAAAATGATATATGCCATCAACAACCCACACAAGACACGGTTTCTCTGTATCTACAAAATACACCTGTATGTCTCTGTAAGTCCAGATAGTCAAAATAAACAATTTGTACTAAAGGTCTATAGGTCTCTATTGAAGTTTCAAGAATAGGAACCAAAGTTTATTGATATGTTGTATTATTACAATCTTTTAAGAAAGCATCTTGAGTAACTGGCACGGCAAAAGGAGTATCACAGATTTCAAATGGGAAGTAGACATAAAGCACGTCTGCTGATTACTATAGTATGATCATCGGCTTGAAGAAAGGCATTTGAGATGTGACCTGAAAAGCAACTTTTCCATGAAACACAGTATACAACTGATTGCAAAACTATGATTATTTTGACTTGGGTTTTGACATTATTTTCTTGAAAATGAACAATGTGAGTCTGTCAGTTCAAGGAAAGTAACTGATGGCAGTAGTTGCTAATGATAAAATTTGAGTTTTCAAGCAAAAATTAGAATTTCAGAAACTTTATGTCCACCTCTGAGATGAGCTCAGTGGTGATATTAACAAATGCAATACATTCGTTTTGGATAAGAAACGGGTATCAACAATATGAAGATTTGCATAAATTAGTAAAGCAATATTTTCCAAATCGCCAATGAACGATGTTCTATCAACGAAAGGTACATTCAATGTGGAAATGCTAACCATGATTTTAACGACTTGAACACATCTCCAAATTCATCTTACAATTTTAAAATTCTTTCTCATATCTGAAAAAAAAAAAATCTTGGTGACTTTTGTTTTTCCAAGTGGGTCAGGGCAGCTAGCAGAAGCCTACTAACCACCAGATAATTCCGGAAATGGGCTCGGAGTGAGGCAGAGTACAGCTGAGACACAGGAGGAGCTGAGGGGCTGCCCTCGGAGAAGGGGAAGACCCCGAAGAGTTGAGCGGACTTTTTGTTGCCATTTTTAACTTGGGTGCCTTCGTCCCTTATCCGTGCAGACAGAATTGGGGCTTTGTACCTCCTATAGGCCACCACTGGGCAGTAGAAAAACCAAGGGGTTTCGGTGGAGATTTGGGCGGCTACAGATTTCTGTGAAGAACAGTTGCTGAAATCTGGGGCTGTGCAGAACAGACAGCTAAAAACCTAACTAGAAAATCTCTAAAAGGCACAGTGGTGCTTCTTGGCAGTTTCATGAGGAAAAGATTGAGTTTGGGACTCGTCAAGGGACGGGGTCACGCAAGATTCTCACATAAGGATCCTCACAAAGGCCAGGGACAAACCCGAGGTAGTCTGAGTTTACCAGGGCTGCAAACGGTTTTTGCCTCACTGCAGCAAAACCTTGACTGCATGGAAACAATCAGCCAGCACTCCATTTGCCGAGCAGAGGCAGGGAGCACGCTCTGTGGAGAATTACATCATCATCGGGTGTGTCGTGCCTACAATTTTTTATATATCATGTCCGGCACGCAGAGAGAAACTGCCAAGCATGGCCAGAGCACAGGAACAAAAACAAAATAAAAGAGATACCATAAACAGACTCCCAGGTCATCCTACATTTTGAAGTAAGCAAATAAGAACTTCACAACAGCTATGATTAGTATGTTGAAGAAAATAGAGGAAAAAACGGAGGAAAGAAATTAAAAGGTGGATGATTTAACAGAGCCCTGGAATATATGTAAGAAATCAAATGGGCATTTGTTCACTTGTAAATACAATGTCAGTTCTTGACAAGACACGACAGAAAACAGGATTCGAAAATTGGAAGTATAAACGGAAAAATGTACAAAAGAAAGGATTTTTGTTTTTGTTTTGTTTTTTAAAGGTTTTATTTATTTATTTGACAGAGACACAGCGAGAGAGGGAACACAAGCAGGGGGAGTGGGAGAGGGAGAAGCAGGCTTCC